TGCTTTTAACCTTTTCCATTCCCTTCCTGTTGTTCTCTTCTGCCCTTCTTTCTCTCAGGTGTTCATCTTCTGCATACTGTTAGGTTTGTGTTTTTCAGTGCTTAGCACTTTTCTTGAGTCACCTTGTCAATAGCCTTTCTGTTCCTTTACTTCCCTACTTCCTGAAATGTTTCCCAGTTTCCAGCCTGCTAGAGAGAGCAGGAGAGTGCACGCACACACTCAAACTTACTTCCCCTTCCCTTTCAGAAGCCCGTTTATCAGCTTTTTATTGTTGGCATTTTCACTTTGTAGAATTGGAATGATCATGAACATTCCACAATTTCACTACAACTCAGTCTGTGGCATTAGGGTATGAAGGGAGACAAGGTAAGCATCTATTTCTAGCTTGCTTATTGCAGTATCCTATGCTGAGTTAGACATTTCCTGAGATACCCCAACCCTGCATAGTGCTGGCTTGTTACATATAATTAGAAAAATAATGTATAGATGGTATGATGTCACCCTGAATACTAACAGTCCAAATACATATCACGTTCTCTCATAACATGAAATATATCACCATGGTTTTGTGTTTTTGACTGTACACAATAAGACATTTTATTAATCCCAGGAGTGTTTTGTCAGAGTCAGGTTTTCATAATGAGTTGATTCAGTCTTGCTCATTATTTCCTGCTTTGGGGTAATAAAAAGAAATTAATAATATAAAAGCTAGAAGAATAACATTACCTAAATCAAGACAGATTTTTTCCCTTTTATTCTGCTGTTTTAAAGCTGCCATTGTGTCTTAGCTGAATGATAAGACTACTTCAGAATCAGATAAACTAAAACATATTCCAACATATGTTTACTTGGAAATAAGTCTAACGGAAGTCCAATCAAGACATTGTTAGGCCACATTCACTTCTCAACTTCATCCCATTCATGTATTTAGTGAGAGTGGGGATTTTACTGCAAAAATGGGGCATAAAATCTTTTCTTACTTTCTTGGATCCTGTACCAGAAGCAAGCTGGAAATATAGATGTGTCTGCAGCAGCAACCTGAGAGGAATGGAGAAGGTTCTATGCAAAAGAAACAGGTGCCTGGCACCACTCTGTCTAGTTTGTCTTGTGTTCAGTAGGACTGCATCCCGAGAGCTCCTATGACTCCTGCATAGATATTGGTCCTTTAATTGACAAGTACAGCCAGTGGTAGCTTTCTGTGCAAATAATCTAGGATAAAGAAGATTTATTAGCCCACAGATCTATTAGCAGTGAGCCTGCCCACATGCCCTTTCAAGAATAGGTGATCTAAGTGAACTAGCTTTTGTAAAGCTCCAAGTCCTGATCTCTCATGAAGGCCATTCTTAGAAGAAATGACCAGATAAATGATTACTTCAAATTTTATTTATTAACTATGGTAAGTGACCATATCAGGATGATTTTCCATTTTCTTGTTCCTCCTTTGTGTAAGCACCTGATCCTGTCCCATCTTCCTTCTCTATGCCTTGCTTTTCTAAGGAAATACAGCCCGCTTTTGAAGTAAGGGGTTGCAAAGGAGGCATCTCTAAACTTAACACAAGCATTTCAGAATAAAGAAAGCAGTCATTGCCTCTTTACATTACTTTGCTTATAGCAGAAGACTGCATTAAACTTAAATGCTCAGTTTTCTCTGGTCCTTTACATGGTATGTTTGTGCTAGAGATTTTCAGTGAAATTCTTGACAGAACTACAGGAAGGAGGGACTCCAAAAAACACAATGTGTGAACTTTGTTCATCAAGGGATTTAGGTTATATGATTAAATTATTACTATCACTAGAAAATGTTACTTCCCAAAACAGTCTTGGTCCCAAAACCAGGGCTGAAAACCAATTGAAATGGCTCAAGATAATTTCTTTCCTCCATGAAAGCCTGGGGTTGCCCAACTACCACCCACTTGATCATCTTGCCCAGAAGGGGACATTGGCTCTTGGTCTATAGTTATTCACAATACCTATTTATTTATTTATTTATTTATTTATTTTATTTTATTTGGAGCAGTGTGGCCACAGCCATTTTTAATGTGGCTGGCACCACTCTTCTCTCAGGGAGGCATTTCTGATCTCCGGGAATCAGATGTGGATCCCCTCCCTTGATCTTCTCATAAGCCAAGATGGGCAAGAATCAAATAAACAAGTGGTAGGCTGGACTTGACCTAGTAATTTGTCCACATCATTGGTCTGCAAAGACATCAACTCATTCAGCAAGGCTAGACCAGATGGCGCACTGGACACCTACAAAGGCAGTACTGCAGTAATTGTGGTGTCAAAGTTCGAGTAGACACAAAAAATTTTATCCTCAGAATGCCAAGCAAACTCATCATAGCAGGCTGCCAGGTACTCAACAGGACCTTTTTTGGGGCCACCATATAAAAGGCTGTGAACCACCCAGAAAAGCTCCACTGGTCGGCAATCCAAGGATATGATGCAAGTGGTATAAAAGCACTTCTTGGTCACCTTGATGACCACGGAATAGGATCACTAATGAGCTGTAAACCATGTTCAGTCAGATTTATCCCAAGTTTTCCCCCACCTATGCCCTAGTTATCTCCTAACTTGTTTCACCATCCTCAGCTCAACCATATAACAAGGAGCCAAATGGGCTCTGCAAGGAAGGACAGGACACTTGGCAGCAACTGTGTCAACCACCTGGGTCATCCCTGTGTTCCCCATGGCGACCTGGGCTTTGATAGGAATGCCAGCCATGTCAGCTGGATAATCCCCCAGAATTCTCAGGAATCCATCTGGGTCCATCAGTCTCTGGGGGTGGACCAATTTAACTGGTCCCCCAACCCTGCAGAGGGGAAAGGGGACTGAAAGTTCAAACCTCAAAAGGAAGTGATCTGACCATAACAAGGGGGTTAAAGAAAGACTTCTAACCAGCAAATCACCATCTTCCCATCCCGTTGAGAAAGCCAGATCAAGAGTGTGTCCCTTTTCATGTGTTGGGCTGCTGACATGTTGAGACAGCACCAACATGTCACCAGCCCAAGGTGGCTACTCACTGTTTAAGAGTATTGGGAAGCTTCAACTGGTTTAGATTGCAGCAGTCAGAGACCACCAAAGGCAGGGTGGAAGAAGCACTCCAAACATATCTCCCCAACATATCTGCTGGTTGCTAATTCATGTATAGGCACAGTTCAAAATGCTGGACTTAACCTTTAAGTTCAAAATAGACCGGGACTAGGATACTTCACAAGCTTGCCTGAATGCATCATTCAACAATCAAGGCCCTGCTGACTTTGAGAAGTATGACTGATGAAGAGAGCACCTTTTCAACTGCAGCACCTCACTGTGGAATACCTTTCCTAAAGAAGTTCACATGGTACTTCACTGCTGACCTTTTGGCTTTTAGACCAAACTTTAGAATTTTATAACATACTTTGTGCTGATTAAAATAGCCTAAAAGATTTATTTTGGTAGCTGTGACTCAGTTATTATTAAAATATTGCTATCCTTTTCTGCTTTTATTGATTACATAGTTTTATGTAATTTATGTTATTGTAAACCATCTTGGCAATTTTCCAGAAACTATATTATATGCACAATTAATATATAGGTCCTGGATTGTTCTCTGCCCTGTGGTTGACATCATTCTGTACATAAAACCAGCATCCCTATGGGCTATAGGGCAGCATACAAATGTAATAATAAATCAATCTTTTTGTTCTCTCTGGTTTGCAATTGACTGCTCAGTTGTGAAACTTATTGCCATTTTGTAGGTTCATCCCCTGCTCCACTAATTATCTATTCTACAGCCAGATAAATAGTTCTGTCTAGCTAGATCTCAAATGCATCTGGCCAGGTAAATAAGGGTGATTTTTAGGGCATTGTAAGAAGATGCCTTGCAGATACCCTGTGCTTTGATCTAGATGTTATTAGGTAACATGTATCTAAAGGAATTGTTCTATTTAAATTGGTTAAAATATAAGGGCCAAGGTTGCCCAGATTTGAAAAATGCCTCAGTTCTAATGGGCAAACACAGCCATTATTGTCTGTAACCTGCCAAGAGATCCATGTGGCTAACAGGGTAGGATAATCCAATAAATAAATAGTTAACTGGATTAATGTCAAACTGCTAGCTAGTCTGACGTGTAGGTGTAGATTCCAGAGATAGAACCAAATATGTCTTCTCACTAAAGCATAGTCTTGAGTAAGGTGCTGCAGCTGTTTTCCTGAGTCAGAGCCTTTTGCCTGAAATCAGGACTACGCAGTATAGCCAGTGACAAGGATGTATTAACTTTCGCAGTGTAAGAACATAAACATTGCCTTGCTGGGTAAGGCCAATGTAATATTCATCTGATCTAACAGTTCCTTCGCCTACCGGTTGCTGCCAGGGTAACTGAGATGAAGAGCCATAGAATAAGAATAAAAAGGTGGGTCGTCGAAAGTGGTCCCAATTTTACTTGCTCCCAAGAAAATGTTTAGCAAATATTCAGACTGCAACGTAATTAGCCTATAGGCATATACGCAGGATCAATGGTTAGAATTAGCTTATCACCCTCCAAATCCTATAGATATGCTGGCAGCAGACCGAGTTTTAACAAGCAGCAAAGGGAAAAAATCTCTCTCGCTGCAACTATCTTTCTCCGTATAGTTTATCATGGTGAGCAAGTGCGTGGATATTATTCCGGACCAGTAAGTAGCTCGAAGTTCAAGCGTATGGCGTCGACGACTTGATCATAGGTTTAGACGCTGCTGACCCCTCTCTCACCCAAGAAAGAACTCCATTCTATGAATAAACATTGTAAAGCGAGCGTTGCTCGTAAGCACCTCCCAGCAGGCGGAGCGAAAGCGACCGCTCGTCTCAATCAGTATATACGGATGAAGAATGATGACAACGAGCGAGAAAGTGACTCAAGGAGGAGCTCTCGGCCCGGCTACCCAAGGGCGCTAGAGGCGCCCAGAAGTTTCCAGCCGGGCAGCTGCCCTGTGTCTCTCCTCCTCCTTCTCCTCCCCCTTCCCCTCCTCTTGGCGGGGACTGCTATTTCCAGACACTTCCACCCTCTTCTGTGTCCCCTCCCTCTCTTCATTGAGCGATAAAGGTGCCCGGCCGGCTGGGGCTGCCTCGCTTGTTTCTCCAGTGGATGGCCCAGCAAGGCGGTTGTAAATCTCTCCTGCGCTTCCTAGCTCTCTAACTGGTGCGCTTTGCTTCCCTTTCTGGTGCGCAGAATGAGCGCGGCAGCTCAGACTCCAACCATGGTGCAGCCGGAGGCAGGAGGAGGCGAACGGGAACCCCTGCCTCCGGGCTGGGAGGTGAAGATAGACCCGCAGACCGGCTGGCCTTTTTTTGTTGATCATAACAACCGCACCACCACTTGGAACGATCCGCGCACGCAAGGGGACCATCTGAAGGTACTGCCACAGACGGCGTGGGCTGGCGTTCTCTCTTTTGCGCGGGAAGCCTGGCGTTGTTGGGACTTGGGAGCCGCTGAGTTGAGGAACTCCCTTCCCTTCCTTAACTTCTGTATCACGTAGGCAAATCTGAGGCGCGAAGATGAAGGTTGCGCGCATTTGCGTCTGTTTCCGCTGTCTCCGCGCCCTAGGGTTGGGGAGAGGCAAGGAGACGTTTCTCGGGGCTTAGCCGTAGCGGCAGTAGAGGGTGGCTGGAAACAGAGTAACTTTTCTTCCTCACCATGACGGGAGATGAGCAGAAAACCGGCTTTTTCGCTGCCATGGCCGTGTCTTTTCAGACCTGAGTGCATATGTGAGAGAAGGGAAAGTCCTTTTCCCAGCACGGGTCGTGTAGCGTGCGAGACTTTCTTCCTCAGTACATGGCAATGTTGTGGTGACTCAGGAATAATGCTGAAGAGAGGCCTTCAGCTCTTGGCAATGGGAGGGGGGTGGGGGAAGAGAGGCCGACAGGAGGAGGCCGAAATCTCTGAAGGGCAGTTTCCAAGGAGCTCTGCTTAGTCTTGCAACTCATGGTGGCACCGCTTGAAGGACAGCGGCCCAGCACTTCCCTGAGGCGCTATAGCAATGTGATGCGGGGGGGGGGTAGTGCCAGGAAAAGCCTCCCCCCGCGTGCTCAGTACATGGCAATGCAGTGAGGCTAGGAGCTGGCTTTTGTCTCTGACGCACTGCAGTTCTTTTTGTGAGAGTGTGTGTGTGTGCGCGCGCGCGCGCGCGCTCAATCATTTGATACCTCAGTCCTTGCGGTGTTTATATCTAAAGTTGGTTGGGTCCAACTCAGCCTGTGAAGAGTCAAACTTTTGATTTACTGAGGCGGGCTGTGCATCTCAAGCAGCGGATAGCATTAAAAAAAATTCTAGCGAGTCTAAATGGGTTTGCTTTTACTTTTAAAGTTTTAGTAAAAAACAAGAAAAAGGCTTGGTTATGGGCGAGTTCCCGGATACGCCGGTGCAAAAAAAGGACTCCCGGCTGCCACATAAGAATGCTTTAAAGACTCTCGTTGACGTTAAGTCCTATTAGGCCTGAAATATGTAAATATATAAAAACAAACGCGTTTGTCCTGTTTCTATTGGCCTATATTGCTGGTTATGCAATGACCAGATTTGTCTGAACTAGGAAGTTAACAATACAGTGGAAAATACTTGTTGGTTTTTCCTCCTATCCACTTGTAGGATTTTTAGAAATTGTATTTGCTTTAGAGATTAATCCAGTATTTTGTACAACTGGTATAAAAACCGTGCCTCTGGGGAAGACATGTACGTGATGATTAGAAGTAAGACTTGTATGGTTTGGGGAATCTTGTTGGGTTCCAAAGTCTAGTTAAAGGCATTTAAGTGGTCTTATCCAAACAATGCACTTGGCTTTCAACCTGACAGCCTCATAGCTTCAGCTGCCAGGAAAACATGATGTTCTGGAAAGCAGCTTCCAGTGTTACTATTAAAAAATGATCCAGTGCTGGTTGTCTGAGGCTGTAAAACTAGTAGCTGTAAAGCAGCTAATATTATTCTACTACTTTTAATCTAACTTTGGAGACTATCACTTTATAAATGCTCTAGGACTCAATATTTATAAATGAAGCTAGAATTCCATTAAGCACACAAAAGCACTGTTTGTTGGTATGCTCCCTTTTTAGAAATTAATTTCAAAGAGATTTGTGCTGTTCCTTTAACCTTGTATGGACATTTTGCCCTAGGAAACACTCCAGTGCATTATGCTAGTGCTAAGGTGAAAGACTGCATTGACACTTTATAAAGTGTTAGTAGTAAATGATGTTGTGTCCTCTCTCCATGATGCTTGCACCTAGCAGTTAGCAGGAGTACCACATCCTCCAAATCATAGGCTGGTTGAATCTTGCAGAGAAGCAGTGGAACCCTTATGGTTTACCTTGTCCTATACTTAAATATTGACTTTTGACTACTAGATGTAAAAATACTCTATTTTCAAACTTTCCTTGCAATCATTTTCCTTGGGTTCTATGCATAACTGATTTTGCCTTTATGGATGGCTTGGAGGGAACTTGACGATGCTGGGATAAACTTTCTGTTTGTGCTAGGCAGAAACTTACAAATCACTCCATCCACAGTTTACTAACCAGAAAATCTTGAACAACGTATGCCAATTTCAGTTTTCTAGGTAGCCTTCAAGCAGTGAAATAGGGTATTTTTTTCCCTCTTACATTTTCCTTCAGGAAATTCATTTCTTTTTTTTTTTTTAAAGCATTGTAAATGGGAAATGGAAAGTATATACAATCCAAACATGATAAACCTAGTTGGTTTAGGGCCTTGAAAATTGTTCCAATTTAAACCTTTCAAAACATAAAATGATAATATCTTAATGATATCTTAGTCAGTTGGGCATATATGTTGAGATTAGTGATGTATATTTGTTCTTCCCCATCTTCAGAATTTTCTGTGTTTCTTGGACTACGTGTAAACTAAAGTCTAAGGCTCTAGGTCAAACTTCCCCAATCTGGTACCTTCCAGATGTTTCTCATTAAGACTCCTATCTTCCCTGACTATTGGCTATGCTGACTGGGCCTGATGTGAGTTGGAATCCAAATAATCAGAATGATAGGAAATGTAGGAAAAAGGCAGGATATAAATAAATAAATACCCCCCCCACACACACACACACATCAGGGAAGGTTGCTGGGTTGTTAGGCAATACCGGAGCAATTTTGATATCGGTAAGCCATTCTGTGAGGCTCAAATGCCTGTTAAAGTGGAGGCAGTTCTATGAAGCTTACTGAGAAAAGTTTGTAAGCTATATTAAATTTGCAGACTTTATATAGTTATGTAATTATTGAATGCAAATTAATATGTTAGGCTGTGGAAGAATAACATGCACTTTTTTCTCCTTCAGATATACTATAGGAAAACAAATATAATGCATGTGAAACCTGGAACAATAAGGTCCATGTCTACTTAGGAACTTTGCATACAGTTGGTTTGGCACTTTGCCACTTGGTAAGCGGTACCCTCAAAAAGAATTGTAGTTGAGGTCTTTATGAAGGTTATATGGTTCTAAGATTTTTGTGTCTGCTGTGGGGATCGGTGCAGCTGCCATATATGACATGTAGGATTTGGATACTCTAAATCCATATGTTCTTTGGGAATGGGGGATTTGAATAAAAACTACATAGGTGGCCATGCCTTTGCTCAGGCGGCCTGATGCCTTCCAGTTATTTTGGATGTCAACTCTTGTAATACCTAATCATTGGCTGCTCCAGCTGGAGTTTATGGGAGCTGGAGTACAAAACATCAGGAAGGTATTGCTCTGGATGTAATGGCCAATGAATATCTTTAATTTGTAAAGGAAAACTCAAAATAGATGCACCAGTAAGTATGCTTTTTTCATTGGTGTACATTAAGGTTTATCTTTAATAGTAGAATTTATATCACTTAAGTTACAGATAGAATATCTTTAACAAGGGGAGATATGATGCTTCACTTACTGGGTCAGTTCACATGATCACCTCAGCGGGTTGTGGTACATGCTGGCAGCCATTTTGAATATCCAACCCCTAGCAGGGGCGTGCCAAGGTTTGCCATGTTGTCTGAACCCAGGCAGCATGGCTTGTTTGAGGGGGAAACAAGCAACAAATGACATAGTTCACATAGGGTTGTTTCTCCTCCAGAAAAGCTACCCTGCTAATCTTCCATTGGGGGTTGAATATTCAAATAGGCAATGGCAAATGCCAGAACCCATTATGGCTTAGATGATCTGATGATCATTATGAAAAGCTGGTCATTAAGAACCAATGAATTGCTGCCATGTGAAAATGCCTCCCTATAGTGGCAGTCCCACATGGCTTATGTAATGAGAAAGAAGGAAGGAACAGCTCACCAACTGGGGTGATCCTAACATGGAAAGAGTTTCCAAGGCAGTGCTTCCTTTTCCTTTTGGTGGTTACTGCTTGTGTGCAGATTATTTGTGCAGATTATTTGCTTGTGTGGAGCCAACCCATCTCATACTGAGGTTTCTCACACACATCACAGAAGTTGCGTACAGCCACTGCTTTAGGGAATCATTCAGTAGCCTTCTTGTGGCCATTGTAATGTTCAAATAGATCCTGATTTAGTGAATAGAAGTTTCCCAGCACTCTGTCTTAGATGCTTGTAACAGTGCCTTCAGAGATTCCTTCCTTTTCCAGGGTATGCTCTGGAAAATCAGGAATGGGAATCTCCCATTTCCACAGTGTGATTTGCAAAGCTAGTGTATTGACTTTAAGTGCATAGTCATTTAGGGCACAATTTTATGCAAGTTTAGACAGGAAAAAGGCCTACAACTCCCAGCATGTTCAAACCAGCTATTCTTTGTACTTAACTGACACTGGCAGGCATTGGCTGTCCAAGGATTCAGGCAGGATTTCTTCCTTGCCCTTTATGGAGATGTCAGGGTTTGATCCTGGGATTTTCTGTATGCAAAGCATTTGCTCTGCTGCTGAGTTATCACAGCTTCCACTTAAAATTTTTAACTTGCAAATAGAAATAGTTTCTGATTGTTAAACTGATTTCACAATTCCTCTGTAACAGTACTTTGATTACAAATACAAATGTAGTCCCTAGGTAGAAAAGTAGAATGGAAATTTAAAAAGTTAATACTTAATCTGAGAGATCCAAGTTCTTGTCCCCATTGGGCCATGAACTGCATTGGATGACTGTGCCACTCATACACTCTCAGCCTAACCTACTTCAGAGGGTTGTTGTTGAGAGAATAAAATGGACCTATGGGAATATAAATGCAATATGAAGATGGGAACATGAGTAATAGACAGAAATATCAGCATGTACTTAGTTGTGCTCTAGGGGGCATTGGATAGGGAAGGTGCTTGCTGGACTTTATCAATATCCCCCGCCCTGCATAATAGCCACCCCAGGATCCCCCTTTCCTGCTTTTGTATAACCGCAGTTGCACACAGATGTTTTTTTTTAATGGCAGTTCTTTGTAATCATTTGAGTAAGTTATTTTAAATTATTTAGCAACCCTTGGCAGGCTCTTTAAGATACCTCTGGTGCACCCTGGAGATGGGCAAACTGGAATCACAAAAGCAGGTTGACAAGCAGCTTTCATGATTACTAAACAAATAAAGCAGGATGGAGGGGTACAACAGCAAGCTGGAAATGACTTGTGTTCATAGTGGAGAAAGAAGGAAACTCCAGTTCTTTCTGGGATTCCTGTGCCGGGGAAGATCAGCATGGACCCACAGTGTTCTCGATGGTCTTTTGGGCATGTAGGTCCTGAGGCAATCAACACAAACTGTGGCTTATGTTGCATTGTGGGTAGTCATGCTGTGCAAGTCTCCCATTCAATTTCCCATCATGATTTTGTTCTTAACCTGAGTCAGTCCAGGGACTTTTAACTGATCTTCCTTTCAGTTGTCTTAGTTGTTCCACAAGTCTATAAGACTATGTTTGTCTCCTTTCTGGGAAGAGATCACTTCTGGTTATTGATTTTGCACTGTGGCATTGTAAGATCCTGATTATGGCTCAGTGAACATTAAAATGTACAGGTCCACTGCTCTGACCTGAGACCCATTCATGAGGTATAAACTAATAGCTTGCTAGACCTAGTGTGTCTTTCTCATTTTCAACAAGGAAAGCCCTTTGTAGAGTTATTTTAATCCTTGCTCTTAATTCTGGTGGGCTGAAGCTCTGATGCAAGGTCTCTTTATCCAGCATTTATTTCAGTTCTTTCTAACGCAGTCTTTGAGTCCAGCTTCCATCTACAGGCATGCAGGGGGCATATCTTTTAAACCCTAGGACATTGTTATCAATGGGGACACACCTAATTTTTGGAAGAAAATGGTTTGGTTCTGATTATTAAAGATGGATGTAAATGGAAGGAGAGCATAGGTAGAATCAGGCAGTTTCTGAATTGCTTTCTGAATCTGGGCCCTGCTTGCCAGCATGCTATTACTGCAACTAGTTCAGGAAATGATCACAGACTCCCAGTTAATTTGCATATGTATGGAGCAAGATAAAATTCATTGATTAAAATACAAAGGTTAGACTGTTACATAAATATATGATATGATGAACCCAGTGAGATAATAAACTAATGAACTAGATGAGAAATGAGTCAACTTGGCATGTTTAAAATATTTTTGGCAAACACTAATGAGTCCTACATTCAGTATATCCAGGCACTGACATAGCAAATGAGATGATACAAATCAAAAACACCCACTGTTTTGTTCCACATATGTGTTCTATGGTTATTACAGAGCTCATGAAAACAGAAGCATTTTGGTCACATTAGACATTTAAAAGCAAATAATACTTTGTCATGTGTGCAATGTTCTATACATGAAAAGTTCTTTTATGTGTAAGATAAATAAAAATCATAGTAAAATGACAGCAAGGCATAAAGAGAATGGGAAACACCAGAACAAAATGTGGTGGAGGTGGCTATTACTATTATGAGAGGGAAACAGGTTGTGATTGCATCTTTACACCAGCTATTCCTGGATCAACTGGGAGTCCACTTTCTTCCCTTCTTAGCCCTGTTCTAGTTATCTAATACTTTGTTTTAATAAACTAAACACTAGTCAGGAAAAATGCATGTGTTGAAGCAAGAGGTATTCAGATGAGACAAACAGGTCTGGAGACTGTTGGTTTATTGGGAAGGAACAGTGAAAAAGACCTCTGAGGAGCTATGTTTGCCCAAGCTGTTTTTTCCATAAATTGTTTTTGTTATGTTCTTTTTGTCCATTTTTAATATGAATACCCTGCTTAGTTTGCACACATCTTGTTCTTGTTAGCACTCTGCTTTTCTGCTGAAACTTAAGCAGTAATCTTGAAATAATTTGTCTTATCCTGACCCATCCCTCCCAACCTTATTAGCTTAATACAGGTTGCAATCTTGTGCTAGGAGTAAGCTCCATTGAATACAAAGGGAATGCCATCAACAGAAAAGTGCAGTTTTATGATGCTTAAGAACAATCTACAATTCCAAGAGACAGAAACATATATAAATACAATATATAACAAGAGCTGTAGACTATTCGAACAAACAAAAACATAAATACCTGCAAAGGAGAGATGCTAGTGAAGATATTCTCAAATTCATGTTGTGCATAGGTCAACACTGCTCTTTTTGTGAATACACTCAAAATTCATGACACTGACATGCCATTGAATTTGCTACAATATTCCTATGCATTTCAAGATGCTCCTAGATCAGGCAAGTGCTAGTCTACATTAGGAGTTCATGAAAACTTAGCAACTAGATTTGCCTTGTCAGTGGAAATAAGGTTTTGCTCTGCTATGCAAAAATGCTTGGAGAAATCACTGAAATATAACACCATCCTCCAACATGGACAAATCATGCAGGTGTGTAAAGCTTTTGCCTTCTGTATTGTTTCTGAAGGGACCGGCTCAGATGTGGCAAGCAGGGTTCAGAGATTTTCTTTCATACTGGATTATGCCTTCTTCCCTGAAGTCATATGAAGGATACTGTATGGAACATTTTTCTTTCTCAGTTGTACAATTTGTGCTGGCCACACCTCTGTTTATCCTACTGATAACATCAGAAAGCAACCATATCCTCTTTAACAAGACTATTCTTGTAATTCCTCTCCAGCAAGTCTTATAACATGCTTTGTTTCTCTAGTGTGTGTTTCCCTGTTTCATAACTAATCCTACCAGCAGGCCTCTGCAGTTTAGGGACAAGTCTGAATAGCCTTCCAGTCTTCCCTCTCTCTTTGTGTAATGGGGTAGGAGGGGGAGAAGTTTATTTTTCAATTTATATCCTGCCTTTTTCCTACAAAGGGCTCAAGGCAGCTTACATCTCCTCCTCCATCTTCTCCCCACAACGACCCTGTGAGGTAGGTTGGGCTGAGAGTCTGTGACTGGCCCAAAGTCACTCAGCTGGCTCCATGGCTGAGCGGGGACTAGAACCCAGATCATCTGAGTCCTAGTCCCATGCTCTTAACCACTACACCACACTGGCTTTCTACACTGGCTCTAACCACAAGTTACATGTGCACACACATGTGAGAAAGGGAGAGGGGAGAAAGATGATGTGTGGAGTTCACAATTTTACACCCCCTCCTCTGCCAGCTTGGAAAGGCAAAAATACACATGTGCATTTGAGGAGTAAATCACAAAAGAACATGAAAGATTCTTCATTGCATTCATCTGTTTTTTTCCCCTTCTTTTGCTTTCCCACACATTTCAACTCAGGAAAAGCAAAGGGGAGCAGGCAATGTAGGCAAAAGTTTATAATTCTACCAAATGGCTTGCAAAGCAAGGAGGAAGAAATATATTTAAGCAATGGAATTATCTTTACATATCCCTCTGTCTTCCATCTTAAAGTGAGGGAGAGGGGCGGACTGGATCTATAGGCCAACTATTTTCCAAACCATATTATGACCTGGTTTGCATGTAACAACCCAGAGTTCAGTATGGGTCATTGCATCTGATTACTACATGATTAAACTATGGTTGTTTATCATGAACCACACAGAATTCATGACCCAACAGTAAACCATAGACTGTCTTCCTGAATTGTAAGCTGTAGTGCAGCATTCCTATGAAATGACAACCCACAATCCAAGCAAGGCCTATTATTCAACCCATATTCTGGGTTGTCATTACATGTGAATCTGGCCCATATCTTATTTGTATTGCTTTGATAGTGTTATTGATTTTAAGCATGTTTGATCATGCAATACTTTGAGACATTTATACAGAGTGGAAAATAAACTGTTATTTAATACTTTTTAATGCTTTAAGTTTTAAGTTAGGAATATTTGGGCACTGAAATTGATTAACATGGCCTTCCCCACCCACATTCTCCCTAGAACTCCCAGCATTCCTGCCCATTGCCCAGTGTGGCTGAGGCTGATAGGAATCAAAGTCCCAAACATCTGGAGGGCACTAGGTTGGGGAAGATTGGTAAATGATGTGACTGCATTCTTCACACACATGATTTAATTATCTTACTTAGCCTGTGGTACTGCTGAGGTAAAGCAGATTTAACATACATGGCTTGGGTCCTTTGTTCTAATTTTAGATCAAGTTTAGATTACAGTAGATGCTCCATTAACCAGAACTCAAGCAACTGGCAAAATAAATAAATACATAAATAAATAAAAGAAATAATACCTTAATTAAAAATTAAAATAAAATCATTTTCTGGTGGAAATGTAAGTTTAAGCCCATGCTTTGCGCACCACATGTTTGTCTCCCAGTTTGACCAACTCACTGTGTGTAAACATAACGGTTGGGATCTATTGTTATTCAAATTTTGTTCTCACCCAAAGTATGCAGAAACAAGTCCCAAGTAAGGCTTTTGCAAAGGACTGCATACAAATGTCATTCATTCATTCATTCACAATAAATAAATGGTGCTTACCTCAAGCAGAAGATGCAAATATGCAAGAGGCTTGAGAAAGGAGAGTCATGGAGAAATTTAATGTTGGTTCATCAACAATCTATGACATTAAGGATCAGTCTCAGAAGGCAGATTTGTATTTGTCTTAATTTGCTTTTAATTGCTGTATTTCAGTATTAATATCAAGTCAACCCAGAGGTTATGGTATGGTATAGCATGGGGTATAGTATTAGTTAGGACTATTTTTAATAGTGACTCTCAAGCATCCAGAAACTACATTTATCTGGCATCTACCAATTCCCATGGGTTCCAGTTAACTGAGAGTCTACTGTATTTTGATATTTATTTTTTATGTAATGTATTTTTATAGTGCTCTTTAGGGGGGAAAACCCTCCCCTTGGGCACTTGACCTGAAAAGAAAATACACAAACAATTAAGACATAAGTAAAATGGATCCAAACAGTTGTAAGAATAATAACCTTAAAAGGCAACAATATTTTTAAAACAACAACAAAGAGTCACTGTGACAAAAATATGACTAAAAGACTGTGGATAATATCAGGATCTTTGTCTGGTACCAAAAGGAAACAAGGTAGATGCCTGGTGAACAGCTTTAGGAAAAGCATTCCAAATCAGAGGTACTATCAGAGAGAAGGCCTGGTCACAGATCACCATTCACCTGACCTTGGACAAGATCTTAACATGCAGTTAAATGTTAACATGTGTACATGCACTGAAGAAGTGTTTACTGGGAAGTCCATACTGAAACTCACGTTGCTACATAATTTAAAGACGATGCACATAAAAATTATCACTTTTCCAATATAATGGGACATTCTGAGAGACCAAGGCTATGAGCCATGTTTTTACTGGTAAACTGTAAACTCTATGCTTATGAATTTAGCTATTTTTATTAAAAGTACTAAGGGTTTACTCTTAAATTGTCTGCCCTTGGTGAAGGTGCTTCTGCTGTTTACTCCCATATTGCTTATTCTAAAATCAGTTTCTCTCTCAACACAAAAATAAGGTGGTTTTTGTCTTTCCCTTGTTCCTATCCTGCCATAACGTAATTCAAATGCTAGTTTTCTTATTCAAAATCAATAATCTTGAAATACTCAGTCTTTACACTATTCTTTTTTAAACAGATCTAGGCTCTTTGGTTTTGAATGTTCAAAAATGTGGGCTGTATAACTCTCCTTGTAAAAGAACAAAGTTTATATACTCAGTTCTTTCTGTAATGCTTGTGTAACCATTCCTATCTTTTCAGAAATTTCTACAATCTTATGAAGAAGGTGGTAGAACTTATCTGGCAATAATCTTTTAATCTGACATGTCACTTTTTTGTCACCTACTCTTTGCGTTAGGGTACATAGGGACATAGTATATGTAAACCACCAAGGACTACTAAATAATTAAATTAATAGAGTTTGGAAGACAAAGGAATCAAAGAAACTTAATATTATTTTTACTGTATTGCAACAGTTATACTCATCAAAATGTTTGACTGTTATTGATATTGAGAATGACATAATGAAATTATGGTTCATTTTGTGTATTTGAACAGAGCAAATATAGGCACTAGGTTTGAATTCTAAATTCTCCAATATGATGTGATTGTACCTCTCAGTAGCAATAATAATAATAATAATAATAATAATAATAATAATAGAATATGTATTCATGCTATTCTTTTAAATGGTGTCACCACTACCAATATAAAACATCTATCTGATATTTCAGTATGCAATAAAACTTCACCCTAGGCAGAAACTTAGTACAAGCAGTCTTGCTTGTTGTATCATGTTTTCAGTTTTTTTCTAAGTTTGATAGCATATACACAAGAGCTCCAGAGAGAGAGGGCGAGAGAGAGCGCACGTGATCCTGCAGTTGGCTTTGACTCCTTCCAAATGTCATAATGCAGGAGAAAATTCAAAGGATTCACTAACAGGAAAGAAGACTTTCTAAGGGACTGTTTGTTTACTGACAAACATAAACAAAAGTTTGCTTTTTAAAGAAGTCATGGGAATTTATTTTAAAATAAAACTATACATTTCAAAATTAACTTGTCATTAAAATTAAATCTTAATTTAATAAAAGCATGCTAAAGCAAGTCTACACTTTTAATATCTCCAAACCAAAGTACTAGCATTCTGACAATTCCGAGTCAGCTCTTCATTGTAGTGATATAAGAATCTTCCCTTTTGAGGTCAAGAATTAGAAATATGGCAAATGTTTGATGGTTGTTATGCTGTCTTCGAAAAAGCTAGTTTGATCTGAGGGCAATTGTAAGTTTTCATCTAGGAGGGCTCAGTCACAGACTTACTGAATAACACAGGAAATAACCATAGTTTCCACTGTAAAGAAGGGGGGTGAGTGGAAGATCTCTTGATCATTGTACTGAGAATAATGGTTGTGAAACACTTCAGTACTATCAGTACCTTTTGCAAACTGTTTGCTTGGAAACAATTTGTCAGTGATCTGGGGTGGATTTTTTTCCAGTAATTATTTTTTTCCCCACAGAAGTTAGTCTGTTCCTAAATGTTACATAAAATTCATTGAGTGGGCAACGATGGCATATCATGCACAGTCCATTGGTGTGCTAAAATTAGTGTGTCAACAGATTTCAGTGATTTTGTTATTTTTCTTTAAGTTTAAACTTACAATATAGGAGGAAGTGCATAATATGGACTGGTTTGGAGGTAATACTTCATCATAATTTAGCATTATTATTTCAAAGCAAGCATCTGCCTTTGCAAAGTGGTAGGCTCAAATACTTTCCCAGCTCCCAGAATAAGCCAGAAATTAGTTTCACGGAGGTAGAATTGTGGTTTGTCATTTTCATGCTAAATAAATAAATAAATAAATATCCAGATTTGAGATTGGTTTGGCTAAAGTTTCTATTAAATCAAGGTTCCTAGTTCACATGAAAAAACAAGCCATGAATTGAAGTGAATTAGTGAACCCTAATTTAAGTGAAGTTGAATTCAGGCTTATTTCTCCTTCCACTTGTATGGGAAAAAGAGAGGGGAGGGAGTGGTTGAACCTGGGCACATTCTTGCTCATGATGCAACACCACAAACTGGCCCATTTCATTTTTATAAGTATGCCAATAAAAATAATTTGTGTAAAACTAATATTTAGGCCATGTTTAATCAAATACATGATTTCAGATACTTATGGCTAATGGGAAATGGGGTAATTTTAAAGTTTTGTTTATTAATTATGTCAAGTAGACATGCTAACTCTGTTAGGGACATTAGAAAATTTTCCAACTTATTTTTCCCTGGAAATTACATTTTGCTTGTTTTCTGTCTAATAAATTGGGCTCTTAGGTTGTACTTAAGACCTTTGCATGGTAGCTAGAAGAAAGGAAGAATTGCTTCCATATTCTTGACCAGGCAAGGAAAGTTTTATCAGTTCAAAGAGCTGATCCTTGGACTTTTCAAATTGTTGTTGTCCCACCAATAAGGCACATTATTTGTGTTGGGGTAATTTGTAGTTTAGTAGTAGATCAAACGTTTTGCATGTAGAAGGTCCCAAGTTCAACTCCTGGCATCTCCATTTATCCCATAGCCACCTTTTTCCCAATAAAAATGATTTCTTGTATAAAAGCCTGATTGGGATGGGGGATGAGACCATCCTGTGTAGTTCGGCTCCTATTGGATGATATTTATCCTGTGAGCAAAAGCAGTATTTGATATCTGATCTCCCTTGGAAATTCATCTAGAATGTGGTCTCAAAATAGAAAGGCCACTTCAGGAAGAGCTTCATTAGTGGACTTAAGGGAGGGGGGGATCTCTTGTACAAAGTTATGTTTCCATCCTATGTAGAAGTGTAGTCTCATATTACAAGCATACCTAAGCTCAAGAGTCTTTATTTTTTATTTTCTGAATAGATTTTCTTTTGATCTTCCTACTCATCCTTCCTTTCTCCCACACTTTCACTCTCACATTATTGCAGTGAATAAATATGTACTTGGTCTTAGGTAGATCCATTTGAATCTACTTTCAAGAAGATTCTGTAAGCAGCAGTGAAAAAACAATGCTAACATGGTCTCCTTATCACTAGGGCAGGTAACTTGATGTCCAATAGATGTTTTGGACTATAACTCCTATAATCCCTGACTATTGGCCATGCTAGATGGGGTTGATGGGAACTGCAATCCAGAAACATTCCAGGGGAGTAGAATGCCTTATCAAATTCTCTTCACTTAGGTGTTTTAAATCTTTATGAGCTGTCAACTTTGTTATGGAGATCAGCCAACTTGTATGTTTTTTATGGAAATAATGTGTGGAAATGTGAACCCTGGGAAACCACTACCTAAAGGGAAAAAAACCTGTTGTCCCCTATTTCACATACCTAAATTGATGTATGAGGGCATTATGAGGATATATATCAGGTAGTACAAAGATGGCTTGGGGTTTAAATAGAACTACAAAAGATTATGCAATTGTGTCTAGCTGATCAGGATTGACTCTTCACTTACCTTCTTGGGCTTTAGAAGCCCTAATCATTCTTCTATCCTATTTGGTCTGTCTCTTCCAGCACAGTACTTCACTTATGTCTCAGCCCTTTGGAGACATTTGCCCCCAAGCCAATTGAAATTTCACTACCTCGTCAGTATGGACTTTCACTGTCCATCCACATTTTAATAGAGGGCAGTTTGCCTTTGGAATAGTTGTGAAATTTCCATGAAATGCAGAATCAGTTTCTCCTGAATTAAAACATGTGTCATCTTTGCAAAATGTCTGGTGAAGAGTTCTTATGTAACTGAATATTGTATTGAACCAGTACATGTTTGTCGAATAAAATCTAATCCTACCTGTTTTTCCTGTGCATTGTCTGAGCTTTCCTTCACTATGCTGTGTGTACTCTGCAAATCATTAGATTGAACACAGAGTCCTCAGCACTGATACAGGAGAATACCTATACCCAGGTACAGGGCCCACAGTATTTCTATTCTTGGTTGCCAAGTCAAAACTTGTGCTTTCTAGGGCCTAGTTGTGCTTCTTGTCATTGACCCTCTATTGTGTGTTTGCATCCAATCAGAGACAAACTCCTGTTCTTTTTAACACCTTATTTTTCATGGAAGATAGGGAGGTGGGGATTGCTGTTGTTTTGGGCTTCAAAGGCCTAAAACAACTGCAAAAACCATCTGCACTCCTCCAACACTTCGAACTTGGGAGCTGAGGGGGGAAACAAGGGGTCAGTTTTGGGTCACTGCAGCCCCTAGCTGCCTTTCTCAGAGCCAGAAGAGCCATCTACAACTTAGCACGCTCCAGATATGCTGAACTATAATGTCCATCATTGCCATATAATGCATGAACTATATTTGCCATCTAGGCTGAGGATAATGGGAATTGTAACTCAACAATTAAGGAGGGTGCCAGGTTGGAGAGGGCTGATCCAAACCTCCTGTGCCAGCTTCTTGTGCTGTATCAGCCAAAGGTATTTGAACTTCAGCATAGGGTAATGGTTACTTTTAATTCATTTAATGGCTACTTCAGCATTTAATGTTGAACAGAAACACTGTACAATATATGTATATTTCTGGGAGAGCAACTAGAACTTTGAGATTTAATGTAGGAACTCAAAAAGCTGTCTAGGTACTAAATCAGACCATTGGTCCATGCTGACGGGTGGCAACTGTTTTTGACAGGAGGCCTTCCCAGCTCTACTTAGAGATGCAAAGAAATGGATCTGGAACCTTTTGCATGCAAAACATCTGCTCTACCCTACTGAGCTCCATCTTTTGGCATAATTCCAGTTCCTAACACCAGTGGTGCCTGACACCAGCTGGAAGGCACATGGAATGGGGATGAATCTGGCCAGCTCTCCACGTCTTGCATCAAGTAGTACACTGTGGTAGCTGATCCAGTACAATTCTTTGCATGGCCCTATAAAGGTAAAGGATTAGAATGTAAGTCACACCAATATGTTATCTTTTAAAATATCTTCACCAAACATAAATTTAGGGCATAGTCCTTTGGATGTTTAGACAGAAAAACATCCTAGCAGAACTTTATCTAACTGTGCACATTACACCCTAGCATACTGTAACAGATAGTGTAATCTGTTAAACAGCTAAATAAGACAACAGTGTAAAAGTATAGTTTACAATATATGATTGACTATCCCAGTGTTAATTGTGAAATACGTTTGAAAATACTTCTCCAAACTATTGGGAAATCAATGAGAGTGTGAAATTTATATTGGCTTAATAACCAACTTCATTTCCCAGCTTATGTAATTGTATTATATCAGTGTCAGGTTAGAATGTGACCTGTTGTTGTTGGAATGTTGTTAAATCAAAGGCATCCCAGTGGAAACATGAGGAATGAGTTTTGATGTCTAGATTGGGATTATTTGGTGGCTATTTGTACTGAATGGTAAAGAGCTTAATTTCTAAATCTATACTGTGGTATCTGTTTATTTGTCTAGGAAGGCCAATCAGCAAATGGTCCATCTCGAAATAGTCCAAACCAGTCCCAAGTCAGAGATGGAAGCATAGTATACCCAAAGCTTCGTGCTGGCTACATCCCCATTCCAGTCATACATGAAGGTGCAGAAAACAGACAGCAGCCCTCGTTCTATTCTGGCTACCTGCCTGGCAAGCAACAAGTGAAGGCAGAAACCATTCCTACCACAGTGTGGGCCCCGTCACCTGGAAGGGGAAATTTTGTCCGTTCACAGTCCCCTGCTAGAGGACTTGCAGAAGCTGCACAGACAGATAAACAATGCGGACAGACAACAACAGCTGCACCAGCCCAAGTAACCCCCTCTCATGGATCTGAGGTAAGTTGACAGAATTGCTGTGGTATGTTTTGCATTGGAATCTTTGCATGGCTTAGGATCTAAATGATGGTGTACAGCTGAGATTCTATTCACTGCTCTCAAAATATTACAAATTATATTCATATACTTCGCATATATTTTGAAATGATCGTCAAAAGCCTTTTTTTTACCTCTAGCAACATGTATAAAAACAACTTTAAATGAGTTTACAATTGTAAATGCTTTCGGTTAAATTTATAAGCATGCAGAATATCATTCTTTTCTTGGATAATGACCTGTTTTGAAGGAGATGTGTTCCAAATTTCTGAGAACACTAGAGAAGAACCTACTCTGTAATATGTGTGCCTTGGATTTACTGCTTTTACACATATATGGAGCTAAACAGTGTTGAAAATGATGCTAATTGGAGTTGAATTTCTCTTGTAACTAAATTGCCTCAGTACGTAGACTCCTTGAATCACTCTGAAAAAGATATAATGAAACTACAGGCATGTTTCTTTTGCCAACGTAGATCAAACAGCACAAATCTGTAGTAATAAGGAGGACTGTACCTGCTGTATAAAGTGTCAGAATTGCTATTTTATGCCAGATTGCATCTGATTCTGGCTGCAATACAGACAGTATGCAAAGCAATGCCAGAAGGTGGATGTTGGCTATGTATTCATCTGGCAGGAAACAGAATAGACATTGGACGACATTAGTAGTCTTATGCTGCATTCGTTTTATAGACAAGTAGGAATAGATAAAACCACTAAAAGAGTTAAGGTATAATTTTTTCTCAGTTTATTTGACTATCTAATATAATATCAGTATCTCTGTAGCTGGCTTGGTGTCCAATTAGCTGCAAAAATATTACTATAAATAAGAGGGCATTAGTGCAGTACATGGACAAGTGCAGTATATTCATATCCCACTAGCTTTATATATGCGACAGTTAATTTTTTAATTTTTTTTATTTAACTCCATTCACAACTACTTCCTGCAAATAATTTAAAGTAATAACAGAAACTAATATAGAACAAAGTGAAAACAACAAGTTCTTTAGTGTTGAGTTCTCTAGAGTTTCCAGATTGGGGCAGTGGAAGGACTCATAATGAGCTTTATTAAGATGAAAACTTGCTTCCAAGTACATTTTCTTAGACCTGTTACTTTGATCCTTGGTAGCCCTTTAATCCCCAACTAAGAAATACTGCCAAACATGACAGTGGACATTAATCACTTTTTTCTCCCCTCAGCAGCCTCCATCACCTGCACGTTCTGAATCACCAACAGTTTCCCCTCAGCCATCAAGCAGGCCCAGTTCGGGAAGCCACCAACTCCCTCGTGGATATATTCCTATCCCTGTGATCCATGAGGGAAATGTTCCGAGACAACCATCGCAAGCCTATCAGACTCAGAAGAAACATTACCCAGCCCAGCAGAGTGATTACCAAGCTCATCAACCAGTTTACCATAAAATTCAAGTTGATGACCGGGATCAGAAGCCTCAGCGTGCACAATCCCCACTCAGAGTGTCACAGAGAGGTTCAGCAAGTCGTGAAAATTCACCAGGACGAGTCCAGTCTCCAATTCCCATCAGAGTACAGTCAGTCAAACCTCAGGTAGATATGGTAAGCCTATACAAGTCCCATTTTCATTAGCAAATATTCTTCAATTTTGTGGGGGAGAGGTCGTATTCAGAAAAAGTTTTCAATCTGAACACTATAATCCATTAATTGACATGTACAGCCAACTAATGGTTTCACCACTGATTTAGAATAATATTTATTTATTTGTTATTTCTAAATTCTGCCTTTTTTCCTTTCAAAGAACTCAAGCTAGCTTACATAATTCTCCTCCTCTCAGACTTTATCCTCACAACAATCCTGTGAGGAGGGTTGGGCTAAGAGTCTGTGACTGGCCCAAAGTACCCAGTTGGCTCCATGGTTGAGTGGGGACTAGAATTCTGCATTCTTAACCACTACACCACACTTGCTAGAATTATAGCTCTAGTTTATAACTGAAAAGGGTGACAACCTGGGCTCTGTCTTAGCTATCAGATGGATCTTAACTTTCTTTTCTTTTGTACACTGTGAGAGGAGGGAAACAATAATTATAATAATGGAATATTGTGGAGTTGAACGAACATCCTGGGATCTTAGTGATAATGCCAACTTACTGGAAATGTTTCAATTTTATATACTATTCAGATAAATGAGCTCAGTAACTATACATTTACTCTGCAGGTCAGGAGTAGACAATCTTTTGAGGGTCCAGGGTCAGCAAGCATTGCCAGGTCAGGGGCTGTGTACATGTGTGGACCCATACATCTCAATAGGTACAGATAAGTAGATTTAAGCCCTACCTTCTTTGCTCACCTAGATAGAGCACTGGGGTTTAAAGCTTCTCCCACACCAAGCAGTGCCATCTGAGATTGCTGTATCAGTAGCTCCATTCGAGGTGAAAGAGACTTTAAGCTCCTGTCCCTCAGTGATTCCCTCTGAGATAGCTCTTTTCCCACCACTAAAGCCTTTTCTTTCACTATAGCACTGGAAGAGGGGTAATTTCCCTGAAGCTGGTGAGCTGTGGGGGGAAAAGTAGTTGAGGCTCCCCTGGGTTTGCGGGGCTGTATTTACCCATGGAATGTCTATGCCTTCTGTAGAACATGTTTCCCTACAATTGCTCTATTGCAGTTTCATTCTTCATTCTTCACATTTGCAGATACACATTTTTTCCTGTTTATTTTTATATTTCTTTTTTCCTTTCATATTCATAGATGGCTTTTTATCAGAACTGTGGCCTGTTGGGTCAATATTTTAAGAAGTGCTTGTTTGAAGAGATGGTAGAAAACCCTAACACACACACACACACACACACACACACACACACACACACACAGAATGATCTCCAAAAGTTCATGTAGCTGGAAGTACTGACTTCAGTTTTGTCTTTGTATCTTAAATTCCTGTGCTTGTGTTTTTGGTTGATGTAGATTACTAATTAGTATGGTGTTCTCCTTCATCAGGCACCACAGCAACAAATGCCAACTCAAGGATCATCACCAACTCTACCATCTGATGCAAAGTTTGAAAACAAGATAGGCCCTTCTGGAACCGAGTTTCCTGCTCCATCCATCCCAATTCAAATCATTCGTGGAGACAGAGAAGCAGATACTAAGCCATCTCCACAGAAACCACCTATCGTATGTAAAGATGTTGATAGAAAGATTCCTTGCCCTGATAAAGCTGCTCCTGTAGAAGAAAAATCTGCCCCACGAGAACACGAACTACAGAAGACTTCAGAAGTTGAGGAGCCTCAGAAGCACCCAGGAGTCTTGAAAGTTGAAATTATACTAAACAGAGTACAAGATCTGGAGCAGGCAGTTGATTCCTTTCAAGGTAAGAAAAATGACAAAAATTATTTAATGATAGAAGAGTATTTGACCAAAGAGCTGCTAGCCTTGGACTCTGTGGACCCTGAAGGCCGTGCAGACGTTCGGCAGGCCAGGAGAGATGGGGTACGAAAAGTCCAGAATATATTGGAAAGACTTGAACAGAAAGCAGAAGATGTTCCAGAGCCCATTCAAGGGGATGGATGTCAGCCACCATTGTCTGACAGTAATCCACTGCCACAGGAAAAAATGGATGTCGACCCTAAGGTGGAGAACGTTTCTAAGGATATAAGCAATGAAAATGGCAGACAGCAAATAAAAATGGAAATGGATCAGCCTGAATGTAAGGAAGGAGTAGTCGCCAATCTTGCTAAAGAAACAAACACATCTGAAAATGTGACTGAACCATAGCCATAGGCAAAAAGTAAAGTCCTTGGACTCTTAAGTTAAAGTGTGTGTTAAGTGAATTTTAACTTGCATGCATTTCAGCAGCTTTGCACCAATTGGTTTTTAATAAACATAGCAGCTTGGAACACTGTAAACACTCAGGTGGGGCAGATGTGGGGGACATAAGGAAAATACATTTAGCCTATATTCTGTATATTGCTCGGAGGATTTGCTCAAAGAATATCTTATAAAATGGCTGCTTTCAAGCCTACCAGTGGGGGGAAATGTATTGGGTTAATATCTGCAAGTAGTGTGACTTATGTAAAATCATTACCTAACCACATCAGAACAACAAATCCATTTTTAAAAGGACACTCCTAAGGGAAAAAAGCAAAACATTTCACTATTAGGCACTTTATATTATGATGCCTGGAGAGTGTGTTAAGAAACCATAGGGGTATTTATATGTGTTGAGAACTTAGCTCTATATTTTAAATGGGAAAAGAAATAAAACAATACTGCAGAAGCCCAATGAACCTGTGTGATTTATAAACTGGAAAGCTGCCTCCATTTGTAAACCATTGTTTGTTTTTAAAAATAGATTTCTCATCATACTCCATTCATATTTTAGCAAATGCCTAGTTAGAGATGTTTTCTAGTCAGTCCATGACTTGTCAGGCTTACATGGTAACCCTGGGGGGCGGGGGGGGCGGGCGGGGGGGGAGGTGAGAGAGAGATATTCAGAGTTGGACAACCAGGCAATCAAGTGTGTAAAAAACACAGAAATAGTTCATCTGAGCATCCAGGTTTTTCATTTGGCTCAGGGTAAAGATATAAACCATCATTTAAACTAAACCACAATTTAGCCAAAGTATACAGCTCTTGGAAAGGAGAATAGGACATGATGTACAGAAGGGATTGAAGCTGCAGTATGATAAAGTTTAGGAATGTAAACCCTTTTATCTAACAACTGGATAAATAAGCCCCCTGTAAAGTATCAAACCCTGAAAGATAAAACTTAAGTCCTGAGCCAATCTGACAGCTTGTGAGATAATTAGTGAAAAGATGCAGTGACCTCTGGGTGGGGTTTGAAATTTTCCTTGAATAGTAGTGTTCCAGGTTGCTTATACTGTATTCCTAGCTAGAGTCTTTCATTCCATAGACCAGTGTCATTTTAGTTTCACTTTGAGAATCAACAAGGTTATATTCAGAACACTACACTTTCATTGGCAATATAGCCTTCATTCCAATATAAATGGCCCTACATAGTTTTAGTATGAGCTCACCAGGCACAAGCTCTCCTGAAGATTCCATTTTGGTTGAGCATACCCAGCTGACATCAAGCAACAAGAATACCTGTTAAAAAAGAAGAGTCAGCCTTTATGTATGTGAGATACATACAGGCGCTCCCTTACTTTCTGTCTCTTTCATTTACATTACTTTTTAAATGTCATGCTAAAATAATTTGTCCTTTTCAGGTTATCTGAAAAGCTTTGTCACTGTTGAACCTTTTTTATTTAAACAGCTTGCATCTGGAAGATTGCCACTGACTCCATTAGCGAACAGCAAAGAGGGCATAATTATTGCAGATTATTTCATAGCTTTGTTTATATTGCTCTTGAAGTTTATTCCCAAGGTGGTTTACAAGAAAGAATAAAACAGTTAAAATGTAACCAAACAAACAACCAAAACAAAATCCCTGAACAAGTTTATGGGAGCAGCCAGATTTCCACTCAGTGATGCTATGCTTAATAATTTTCCTGCAAGTAATAGAGTGCCATGTCTTCATAAGAGAGAGAACTACTAGCTCACTCACTAATTCTTTGTACGTGCCTTGATGCAAGTGTAGTTTGACTAGGTTAAAGAATATCAGTGCTATTGATGAGTTAGTTATTGGTTTTGCATTTTTACTTAATCTAACTTTCTGTCAGGCCAGCAAATTATTAACTTGTGGTCATACTACTAATATTAATGGGTTATATCCAGTGCTGTCAGTGGAGCAGAAGCTGCTGGTGAAACAGATATTCTCCCCCACCCTACAACTTTTGTATCTGCAAGCACTGCTCAGATTTAGGAGGGAATATGTAGGATGCTTGTGTGAGGAGCTTAAGGGAATATCCTATTGCATGGGTCGAAGTCCATTCACTTAATATTGGGTGTAGCCCTTTGTGCTACATGGTTTAGATGGTATATTAGTAGAGTCTGAAGTTTCTTGCATCTGTGTTGTGCTTGATTGAGAGAGACAAAGTTCTTGCCTAGCCTACTGATTGGGGTGTTATTAAGCCTTCCATGACATAATGTCAGAAATCTTTTAAAAACTCATAAAATACAACAAGGCAAGGAAAATGGCATCAGAAGCCTTTATTATTTCTGCAAGCATGGCTACAATGCAGGCAAATAATGTTTAATTTTGTTTAGCTATAATGCTTCACAAGGAGAGAGGGGTAGTGGAAATAAACCCTCTCTTTGTGCTAAAAGGAAAGAAGACACCAATGTTTACACATTTGTTACTGCGCTGAAGAGGGCCAAAAGCTCAACAGTGAGAGTGTCCTGTCCCATCTCAGCTTCAACAGGAATGTGTTTTAGGGGAAGGTCTAAGCCCAGTGACTTTAAAAGCACTTTGCATCAAAAGGCCTACTCTTTCACAAAGCATCCAAACGTAGTGGAAAAGCTCATAGCTTAGTCCAGCCAGACAAACACAGTGGTGGAAGTGTTTTAAACCAGGGGTTTTTCTATCACATGTGATGCACAAATGGTGTAAGAATGACCACAGTGAGCCACCACTTTTCTTAGGCATCACATTTTGTATAGACACTCTCCCTCCCTAAAGGATACATATAATTATTTGTGAAATGACTTAATTTCAAGATAAATTCTGGAGCCAATGTTAATTATTTCAGAAAAGACCTGCATAGGAGGAGAGCATGTTACACAGTCCAGGGAGCATGATGTATGCTTTACCATGCATGCTACAAAAAGAAGCAGTTTGTGTTCATATATTTCAGCTATGGGCAGTCTGTAACCCTCCAAAATGTTTTGGCCTAAAACTCTGATGATTTCTCAGCATTGGCTGTGAAAGTTAGGGCTAATGGCAATTGTGAGCTCCAGATATTTCGGCATACAAGTTGTCTTCTCCTAATGTTTGCCATCAAGTCCAACCCCCTGCTATTGCAGGTCACCAATTAATACAATCCTACTCAGATAACAATCCAGTTTCTTTTTGAATGTCTCTAGTGTGGGAGAGCCCACAACCTCCCTAGGCACCTGATTCCACTGTCATATTGCTCTGACAGTGAGGAAACTTACTGACATCTAGCCTCAACCAGGGTTGTCACAACTTGCGTTGATTATACCATGTCATACCCTGGTTAAAATAGCTTTCATTTCTGCAGTCAGAGAAATCAATTTGATGCAAGGCCAAATTCAGATTTTCTGATCTATTCCACAACCTTTTTGCAGTTTTCCTGAATGGCATTCATGCAACATCAATCACCCACAAACTGAAGTTAGTGAATATCGTAGATTCACAGAAGTCATTAGATAGGTTTGCACAAAAGGATAAGCCACGGTGGTTTCTGTGTGTGTGTGTGTGTGTGTAGGTCAGCTGGTCTGTGTCATCCAAACCCTGGCATATTTCAGCATGGTATGATCTTAGAAACAATAAGAAACAACAATCTAATATGGTTTCAAAACTTTGCAATGGTTTTGTCCAGTTTTTTGAGACTACCACTATGGTTTTGGCAGTCCCACAGGAGCTGCTCCAGCTATCTAGCATGGGATTTAATTTCAGGCCTGGTGGCTGATGGGATATGTGCCAAAAGTAGGAGGACTGAGCAAGGAGGGTGGAAACCACATTAGCATAGAAACTACTTGACTGTCAGGCACATCCAATCAAAAAAAGTACACTGTGGAAACCATGCAGGGTTGCTTCTTGTTATGTGTGAATCCAGCCATTGTGTCAAACCTGGGTCATGGACTAGTGAGAAGAGAGATAGGAGCTGAGGAGCAAGAGCCATGGACACAGCAGCAGTCAGGACAAAGAACAAGTGAAAATGAACGGCACAGCAGGAGGCACGACTGAAGACCAAGGCAAAAATCAGGATTGAAGAACAACCAACGAAATAGGAATACATCCAAACTTAGGTAGACCTTGGTGTTCAGACATGGCTAAAATACAACAAAAGGTTCTCTTGTCCAGAAGGATCCAATGGCCAGCCTGTGGGGATGGAGTCATTCCAAAGCCTGAAGATGTTTGCCTAAGAAGTTGTCACCTAAGCCCAGTAGTTCACCACATGGAACAACTGCACACTGACCTAGCACCTTACGACACATTGTTTTAATGGAGGACATCTAATAGAGTCTTCTGTAACCCATATCCTTCAGATATATTGGAGTACAACTTCCATTGTCCCCAAGCAGCATGGGTATTTTCTGTGCTGGCTAGGGATTATGAGGGGTGTTGTCCAACACATCTGGAGCACACTATGTTGGGAAAAGTTGTCCTAATACATGGTATATTAGTGGAAGGTCATGATAATAGGAGATCCTATTCACACTGTGAATAAACTCTATGAAAATAAACTCAGGAGGAACAATGAGCAATGTATTTTTCAGCAAGGTGGAGCAGAGTTCTTGTGACAAGTAATCCCACATACCAAGATAAGGTAAATGCCGAAAGCACAGACTAACATTGCAAAACTGAGATGCTTTCTAGAAATGGTCTTCTACTTTCAGACACTTCACGAACCATACAAGGAAAGATTTGCCATGCCAATATCTTCTAATAAGTATGAATATTCAGGAAACGAATATAATTAAAGACTAAATACTGTTCATAGCAGACTCAGAAGGTCCTAGACCACAAGTAGATATTTACAGTTAGAGAAGATGTTAAAGCGTCTATTCATGCTGTCACATTTTAAAACTGGCTTCTATAGTTCCAAATAGCTATTCATGCAGATATGAAACTTTTAGGACTGGATTCAAACAATATGATAATCTGCACTCAAGGTGTAAGTATGGGTTCAAGCTTGGGTTGTTGAAATGTAGGTCATTGTGTTGTGTGAACCCAACTCTGCCAGTAAACCATGGTTTGTTAACCACAATGCATAGTTCAAACCCCAACAATAAGCCATGGGTTCTCTTCATGGGTCATTCATGTAAACAAACCATGATTTGTTAGCATGGCTAGCATGCTAACATGATTTGTTAGCATGATTTGTTAGCACAGCATGATACCCTTTTTTCAATGACAATTCATACTCACCCCTTGAGAATTGGTTATTGGTTATAACAAGAATTGTTATCTTAACACATCTCAGATTGAATCAGAATAACCTAAATACTATAGTAGTGCTTTGGAGATCACTCAGCAAAGTATTTTTTAGTTAAGTGGGAAGTCCAATAACAAAAAGGAACCAAAGGACTCATTGGTCCACAATATATGAGGAAAGCTATCCTAGAACTTACTCACCAAGGACATCTATGTCTAACCAAATGCTGCAGTATGCCAAGCAGATAGTATAAAGGTTT